GTCTTCTAAAAAATTAAAAGCTACTTTACCTGTTGCTTTGCTAATATTACGCTGCAAACTTTAGTCAAATATAAGTAAATTCACTAGACAAATAATTAGGTTTTTTTTTTTTAATATTTGGAGGTAGATAAATTGTCAAGCAGTTCTCTGCCTACACTATAGTGTGTGAAGACATCTATAGTCTATTGTTGGCTCAGGAAAGAGGAAAATGAAAGACTGGATTGATTTCTGAAGAGACAAGTCAGATAAAACAGAAGGCATGAAGTGGTAAATTCTTCCCTTATATTATTCTGAAGGCTGGAATTGGGAAAATAATACAGACAGTAACAATATAATTGCTACCTTCTAGGGTTTTTCCTGTTTTAGGGATGGTTAGTGGCTGTAGAAATGTGAATTCATTGATTCATCAGCAGGGCTGGCAATGTAGGACTTATTGCTTCATTGCACATTTGTGGAAAATGAAGTTCAGAGAAGTCAAGATACCTATCTGAAGTCACACAGCTAGTAAGAGTCAGAGCTAGACTTTATATACAGGATTATTTAAATGTCATGCCCAATATACCATATATTGCTTTTACTTTTCAACTGAGTATATGAGCTCTGTGCAAGCTGAATGTTAAGCCAGGATTGTCTCTATGAACTTGGGAGAGATGACCTGGCTCTCACTATTAGTTTCTTAAAGAGGCAAAGAACAAGGAAATCATGTGTAAGTCACCAGGATGAAGAAAACACTTGGGGAACAGCAGCCTCTAATCATGGAGAATGACTAGATGAGTTAATTTCCAAGATAAAAATTCAATTCTTATACCCAAGCTGTAGATCCAGAGATTGACTCCCTCTTGCTGCCCCCTATTTTTAATTCCATGAAGAGGATGAAGTATCAAACTTCTCTATGGAACAAATAGCTGAACAATGCCTAATTTCTTTCTTTTATATTTGATTTCCAAAGTTCATAGTGTAAAATGATGTAAACCCTAGCAGAAAAATTCACAATTCTTATTCTTGTGCCATTTTAGACTTGCAAGTCTGACCGTTCAGATATATGATTAAATTCTCTCATCAAACTATGTGGTATATTCCTACTCAAAGGAATAGCCTGAACGCCTGGAGGCTGAGGAGCTTCCATCCCCTTCCAAGTTCTCACTGCCAATGGCTTAGCTAAGTTAGTGATTGTGAGGGATAGCCCTTGCTGTTGGCTTCTTATCCTAAATTTAAAGGGTACATCTCCTGACCCAACGTGATAAAAATGGAATTTTCTCCCATCCAGCTTTGGTATCATTTCCTGTGTAGCTTTGCAGAAATGCGTAACCTCTCTGGTCCACAACTGCCTTCAGTGTAATGAAGGGATTGTAGCACATACTTTGTCTTCTCATAGGAGCAGGATGTGTTACACATGTTTAGTACATGACACCCATACAGTATGAGCTCAAGAAAGGCTCAATAATTAAAGAGAAGAATGATTGAATTAATTAATATTCCCTTCCTATTTTTCAAAGCGTTTGACATACATGGATAAGGTTTATGCTGACTAATTACCCTTATTAATAAAACTAAAATCAGCATTACTCTTTAACACCAGAGGGATTTTACCATTAAAATACTCTTTTAAATTTGAGAGAGAACATTGAAAACCCAATTAGGAGAAAAGCTGTCACTCCTGAGGCTTCAGCTCCCATTTGATGACTCTTATACTCCGTGCGCAGGTCCTGCTTCTGCAGTGAGCAAACTGAAAATCCATACTTTCGATGACTTACTTGAAAGTCCATCCAGCTGTCACACAAACACCTCCCATTTACTGTCCCAACCCAGACTCAATTCAACTTATTTTCCCCAAACCCAGTTCTTTTCAATTTACCAATCCTAAATACTAAGATCGTGGTTGACACAATTTTTCAGATAAGGTTGCTTAAAAATCGCACTGGCAATCTCTAATCAGTCATCAAATCCTGATAAATCTGCCTCATCAGTATATTTGCTTTCATTCAATAGATATTTATTGTGTACCTGTTACGTTTCAGGCACAGTGTAAAGAACTGGGTATACAATGGTAAACAAGAAAGCAAGATTCCCTGCCCTCATGGAGCTTACATTCTAGTGGGGCAGTCAGAGTCACCCACCCAAACACATACATAAAGCCAAAAAGCAAAATAAGTTTAAAGAGTTGTCATCAATACCAAAAAGAAAAATAAAAAAAGGGTGACCTGCTTCCCATGGAAAAGGGAACGTGTTTTGTTTGTATGAGGAAATAAAAGATGGCCAGTGTGGCTGGAGCATGGTTCACTAAAGGAGGATGGAATGGAATGACACTCGAGAGGTCCACAGGGCCCTGTTCATGTAAAGCAATAAAGTAAAGGCATCAGAATTCATTTTAAGTCTTTGAGAAACCAGTGAAGAAGTTTAAGTTACGAGGTCATGTGATCTGGGTTGTGTGTTAAAAGCATCCCTCTGGCTTCTTTGTGGAAAAGAGATTGGGAGGCAGAGGATCAGCCAAGAGGTGGTGTCAGTCTTCCGGGTCAGAGATGACCCTGGCCCAGACCACGCTGATGGCAGTGCAGGAGCAGAGAAGTATTTCCTCTTCTCCATCCCCAAATTACTGAATTATTTCAGGCCCACATTCTATCTCATTTTGACCTTTGCAAAAGCCCTCCTGGGGCACACCTCTAGGTTTATATGCTCCTAATCTGTCCTCCACACTGCCTTCCTGCCTGCCAGATAAATTTTGCCCCTATTCTGCTCAGATACCCCAACTGCACCACCCCCTTCACTCCTATTGTCTCATAGAGTTTCTCAAAAAGAGGTGAAGGATATGACCCAGGAGCAGTTTCAAATACCCTGACCTGGTTCCACCCGACACACAGAGACATGCTCTCTGTATTTTTAACCAATTCTCCAAGAGGTGTAAGTAAGCTACTCTTTCATCTTCCCTGTCACCCCCAGAAACCCAGGCCTAAAAGAGATAACTTAGTTAAACCCTAGGTGTATCCAGAATTGCCACAGCTGGCCTACTCTCCATACATCTCACTGTCTCCTTTCTGTTACATCTTTCATGTTCTTCCTTCAACCTGGAAGGAGAGAAAATATCTTCTTGCATTGTCTAATAGGGCAAACAGGTAAATAGGTGATAACAAGACAACAAGGTGGATACTTTGGTACAGGGTTGAATGAGTGAAAGATGTCAGGAAAGGTAGTTAGATTCATTCTGCATCCTCGAGTAACTAGAACAGGGTTTACAAAATAAGACGAATCGATAAATGAATCAATGAGCGAATGATGAATACAAACTATACCCATTACTTGAGGACAAGAACAGAGACATGTTCCTTCTTTCCACCGCATAGATGGTATAAATCAGTGATTACTTTAGAAATAAGAAAGGACTATTTAAATTAAGACTGCTTTTAAGGCAATGTGTTCCAAATGAAAAAGGACTCCACTAGTTGGGAAAGACATTTTATTTCCAAGTTTCTAAGAGTGTTCTACAAACAATAGAGGCTTAAAGAAAAAATAAAAGATAAAGTGAAAAAGAAAAACAAGTATTCTTAACTACTGAAAGGTAAACAGCCTTTTTAAAAAAGACTTCAACATAAAAATGCAAAAATGTAGTTGTCATCTCTAATCCAAACACATTCCTAGAGAAAAGGATCATCCATGGTGACAGGGTTACTTACAGCTGTATACTTATTTAAATGCTATTCATATTCCTTTTGAGTTATTTCTTCATTGTAAATTCAATTGGAGATCTGTGCAAATCTAGCAAAATATTCTTTGGATTACAAAAACTATATAAAAAAATGAACACAACCTGCAATTATGGAAGTATTGAGAATGCGTAATCCTTCACTGAGATGAAAGATTCTAAAGTGACATTGTCCACAGAATTTATTCCATTGAAGTGTTCAGCCCAATTTGATTTAAATGCAAAGTAAAATGGAAGCGAGCACTTCATAAAAAACATTTCTTTGTATGCATGCTGACTAAATCATAACAATAGTACATAACATGGTATCGAGAAATGCTTAAAACAAACTTTCACAACAAAGTCAGAAAAAAAAAAACTGTAAAGAAATTGTCTGCAATCCAAGAAAAAGCATGTGCCCTGTGTTTAGGGGGAAAGAGGGAAAGTACTTGCAATGTGACTTTGTGTGGTCTTTCCCCAAGTATTGCTACGTTTTGACCTTTGGCCCAGCTGAACAGGTGAAATGCCCTTCACGTAAGTTTCAATCCCCCGAGAAACTAGAAACTAGCTGGGAGGCAGGGTGCTACAGACAAACTCACGGACCAAAAGGCATTGACTCTCAGAATCCCACATGGTCCCTGCCTTCATTCTGAGCTTACAGCCCTAAGCATATTCTAAACAAACAAATAAATTTTGAAATGAATTTCCCTTTCTCTTACTGAAACTTAAAATGCCACATCATTTTACAATTAGTTAAAATTACAGTAGGAAAAATACCCAGTTTCAACTGTCAGAGTCTTACAATAGCCTGCTAAGTTCAACAAAAGAAAAAATATAATAACATTTGAGTCTGGGGAAAATTTATATTTTGACTCTAGTCCCCCAGGCCCCCAATGCTCAGTGTGGGGCACAGAATGTATACCTGGAACATTAGAGTTCTGATCGCTCCATTCCCTCATGGATTCATCTCTCATAGCCATCAAATTATTGATATACAAGATAAATGCATATTATATAAGACATATTGCAAAGTCATAGACTGAACTAGTTCTTTCACATCCTTCTTTTCAGAAGATGTGCGCAAAGAGAAGAAGCCAGGAGGTTAACACCAAGAATATACAAAAAAAGCTTTACATGATGTTACAGAATCTTGTCTGAAAAAACATTTGTAAAACATATTTGATTTTAAATAAACAATAAAAGCAGCAGACAGACTACAACAGATCATAAATAGGGTTATTAAAAGATCACAATTAAATTAGAAATATAAATGGATCATTAGAAATACTTAACGTTTTTTCAATGTTAAGAATCAAACCCAGAATTAAAAAAGAATCTTTTTTTATTTCAAAGGTTGCTTCTTATATTGAAGCTCATATTAAAGCAACAGTACAATGTTCATAAAATATAAGTGTGATGCCGTAACATTTTCTTACATGTCAGAATACTGATATTTGTATGTATACTAAAATAAGAACTTTAAAATTGTACAAATAGATACATTAAAAATGACATAGAAATAGGGCGTCTCTCACTGAAACAAGACGGTTATATCTGGCACGTATTAGTTTAAGATGAAAGTAGAAGCAAAAAGATTTACAAGAATCAGCAGTAACAAGATTGATGCTCAAGAGACATAATTGTACATTGTATTGTACGTACATTGTATGGGTTTAAGCTGGCTGAATAGTATATATTTCAAGTTTAAAAATGCACTACGTATAGAGTGTCCAGAGTTTAAGGCGAAATTACAGCTCAGAACTGTTGTCCTTTCTAATTTTGTGGAAGCTTCTTTGACAACTTAAAAAAGAAGAAAGACTTAGATGTTCATAACACATAAACGATTTCCCTTCATTGTCAGTTCACCATTAGACTTCTCCTTCACTTAAATATTTTGTATGCCAAGTGTTTTTTTTCCCTAGTGAAGTTGATAAACAACTTCAATATTTGCCTTTTTGTGAGAAAAGGTATTTCACAGTATTTACCACTTTGATGTCCTCGCAGTTTTATTAAATGTGTCCTCTCTGTAAAACTTTGCCTGTTTTAAATGAGCCTTTCCTTGTTTTAAAAAAATACCTGTTTACACATCTTCTAGATTCTTGAGAACGCCACAGTTCTTAAGGCCAAATTTGTATCGTTATTGTTAAGAATCGTCATCAAAAGTGTCTTTGGAACCATATAAGTCTGCTAGTTTCTTAAAACGAGGTCCCCAGTTCTGTAGATAATCATAGTCCAAGTCTGAATCTGTGGTGGCTGACTCTAGGGAGCTCAGGGACCCGGCCACTGAGCCCCTACCTTCATAACCATAGATTTGAATGGAGTCATAAGGAGGGGCCGTGGGGTCATTGTCTGCCTCTTGTATTCTTGTGTTGATGAAGTCATCAACATCCACGCTGCTGGGCGCTGGCCGGAGCCCAGGCCTAGGCATGTACTGATACTCAGGTTTGATGTCTTTGCGGGGGATAAATCCATTGATACCATCAGGATTCTGGAGGGTGGCGATATCAAAGGCTTCTGTGTCTTCTTCCCCACCCCCTTCATCATCGTAAGTAATGATGTTCTCACGGACATCTTCTTCCTCAAAGACAATGAGTGGTTCTTTCTTTTGCCTTCTCAGGGTCACAAACAATACTACGATGACTGCAGGGACAGAAAAAGAAAGTAAGCATTTGTGAAGTCCAGTATTACTGGATTCTTCTACCAGAGGAAATCTGCTTACCATAAACCATGGGATACAAATGCTCAGAACTGGAAACAGCATAGGAAATGAAAGCTTTGCCTGCAATTCCCAATGATGGATAAAATTGACCCCCATCTGGCTCTTTCTCTACAAATGCTGCCGTGAAAACATTACACCCAACAAATTGGGAGGTTGGGACTATTTTGAACTTTTAACAAATGAATCCAGATACCACTTAGAAGTCATCTTCCTAAGAACTAGGAAGATTCTGAATACATTGGTCTGTAGTCTCTTAAAAGTGGGTAATGTCAATTTACCTCTGCAAAAAAAAGGTAGCTGTTTTTCTGAGGTTTAAAAATGAGGACATGCAGAGACCTCAGAGCCCGCCTCTTATAGGGGGTGATGGCTAGCTCCTGCCAATGTCTGAGAAAGAACATTAATCCTATGCTAACTTAATAGGAAATCTTATCCTAAGTGTGGCTGGATTCTTTGTAGCCACCACATAGAGGAAAGGAAGTTTGTTTGTTTGTTTGTTTTTGAGATGGAGTTTTGCTCTTGTTACCCAGGCTGGAGTGCAATGGCGTGATCTCAGCTCACCGCAACCTCCACCTCCTGGGTTCAGGCAATTCTCCTGCCTCAGCCTCCTGAGTAGCTGGGATTACAGGCACACACCACCATGCCCAGCTAACTTTTTGTATTTTTAGTAGAGACAGGGTTTCACCATGTTGACCAGGATGGTCTCGATCTCTTGACCTCATGATCCACCCGCCTCGGCCTCCCAAAGTGCTGGAATTACAGGCGTGAGCCACCGCACCCAGCCAGGAAAGGAAGTTTATAAAGCCTCAGAAGACAAAACCTTCTGTTTATTTCAGCATAGGAAAATAGCATCAGCTAGAACCCCAGGTAAAGCAATATCGTGTCTTCCCTGGGTGAGGGGATTCCATTAAGTTTGGGCAACTTAGGAGGGGTAAGGAAAGTTCAGCCACAGTTTAATTCTTCATTGATTCCCTCTGTTCCCCAAGATGCTTCTACCATGTTCCTTTAGAAGGATCTCCCACACACTTGGGAAGGTTGAAGAAAATGTTTGTGGCTGAATTTGGCATGCCAAGTGTGCACCCCTCTGGCTCCACCATTGCTCTGAGAAGCAGGGACTAGAGATTGTTTTTTCCCTGGACTTCATGTGGATTCCAAAGCTCTGTGCCTTGTTCTTGTGGGCACTTCCACCCACACAGACCACTCCTTTGCATTTTCTCTGCTTGGCGGATTCATTTTTCCTTTCATCATGGATACATTTCCTGGCCTCCCATCCTGACACCAGACAGGACTACTGGTACCTTCTTCATGCACCAGCCTGGCCCTGTTCTTACCCTCATTGTAACATTTATCACATGGTTCACACATTCGTCTCCTCTGCCATTAATTTTTTAGGGGTTTTTGTATTTTACTTCCTCTTTTTAAAATATTCATCTATCCAAGCCTCTGTCCTCAGCTGGGCAACTCTTCCAGCAGCCAACCCGTGTGTCATATCCCCCAGAAAGATTTCTCTGACCTTCCTAGGCAATGTCAGGTGCTTTCTACTCTATGCCCCAACCAGCTTGTGTTCATGTCCCCATGATACCACCCACCATGTGCATAGTTTATCTCTTCATGCACACTTTCCTTGACATTCTGTGAACCTGTGGGGCACAGAGATCTCATAGAGTTTTTCTCTTTATTCCACAGGACCTAACACAAGGCCTGTTGCCCAGAGAATACCCAATAACTATTTGCTACACTGAACTCACTGGCTCTTTCCCGTGGAGTAAAGAGTTTATCTCTTCATGCATACTTTCCTTGACATACTGTGAACCTGCTGAGCACAGAGATCGCACTTCTTTTTAGCCCTGGGGATCTAACATAGGGCCTGTTGCCCAGATAATACCCAATAACTATTTGCTGAACTGAACTCACTGGCTCTTTTCTATGGAGTAAAACTCCATGAATTCATTCAAGGTAGAACCAAACACCATGGGGAAAGTGTAAGTTTGGTGTCAGGCATGCATGGGTTTGAATCCTGATTTTGTCATTCACTAGTTCTGAGACTCTGGGACAAAATGATCTTCCTGAGGTCAAGCAATGGCAGATGTTATGAGCACCATCAAATGGCTATTTTTTTTTTTTTTTTTTTTTTTACAGAATAAGCCACAGATGAGACACAAGTCCAGAAGAGGGGCGCTGAACCCAGGGGGCAGGTGCAGGAAGAGCTTCCAAGGGGTCCCTATGGGCTGAGGTGTTAGCACAGATGCTATGTGTGATCATTAGCAGAGGGGTGAGAGTCCTGCTGCTTCCTTCTTCCAATTCTGAGTCCTTCCTATGCTTCTTTTGTTCCTCCTTGTGTGCCTAATGTCCGTAAGCCGCCTTCTTTTTCCTTGTGAGACAAAACCATTGCTAATACTGCAGGTTTCTGCCCAAATTCCCCTTATGCCAAACCTCCTCCCATGTCTCTGAAGTCCCCTGCTGACTACTGCTGTACAGCCCTGTGACGGCCAGGCAAAATGCTCATCGTGACCTTCCTTCCCTGTTCTCTGGTGGAACCTGCTGGTTCAGTTGTCTGCTCCCCCCAGTACTCCATCAAATGCTTGAAGCCCCCTACCCCACTTCTTCTTTTAAACTGTGTCGACACTCATAGCAAGGTCCTGGCTACCAGCCTGTACTTGAGAAGCATGTTTCAAGGAGGGGCATCTGGTTACTAGGCTCTTCCTGCAGGGGACCAGGAAGCACCCTTACCCAGGAGAATGACGATGCAGGCGAGGATGGCGATCAGGGCACCCGTGCTCAGGCCGGCGTTCAGGATGTAGGCCTCTGCGTTGCAGGAGAGCAGTGCCCCGTTCACGTCGCACCCGCAGACTTTGATGGTGAGGGTGTTGGTGCTACTCATGGGCGGGATGCCACCATCACTGATAACTATGGGCAGGAGGTACAAGTCCTGCTTCTGCCGACTGAAGCCTCCACGCCGGGCATACACGCCTGCTGTGTTATCTACAGAAAGAGGGGAGACAGGCAGGGCGCTCGGTTGAGACCATTGGAATCACAGCAGCTCTAAGGCCACTCTCTTATCATAAAGGCGAACCACCTGAACCGTTCTTACTTATTCTTTCTTCTAAGTATCGGCAGAAGCCACCGTCATTTGGCATGATAGGATCACAAAACAAACTATCTGCATTTTGGAACAAATCTCAGAAACAGGCTCTTTGGAATTTGGTAGGGAATTACCACTGAAGAAAGGGGAAACACCAAGGAGAAAAGGATGTGGCAGGCTTGCCGGTGAAGGGAATTCCCCCACCACCTTCCACCACCCAGTTAAACATGTCACTCCTCCTGCTTAGAATGATTTGAACTTTGTTGCTCTTATGACTCAGTGCACCTCTGGCTGCATGGTGGACAAGTAGATACTACTTCCCTAACCCAGACTTCTTCACCTTGCCTTCTGGGCTCACATCCTATGTTTTCCCACAGAAAATGGTGTGGCAGACTTGCTATTGAAGGAAATTCCCTGATTGGGTATTGCCCCTTCTTCAAATGCCACAAGAAAGCATGAGCTTCAGCAATCTACTCTATGTTAATCCAGGAAATGTTAATCATTACATATTCAAGTGAGTATGAGGGAAAAAAAAGAACAAAGCTTCTTTCTCATGTGCAAACATCCTACTTTATGACAAGCATTTAACCAATTTTTGTTTGTATATTTTTGAAAAAGAAATCCCAAGTCCATCTTCAACTCTTACGCAAACTATGAATCCACTCATTAGTCATGGAAATAGATATGATTTAAAGAGAGCAACTATTTTTATAAGGCTTGCAGAAGATTCATGGCTTCTTTAAGACCCCAACACCATCAGCTACCCAATCAAACATGTCACTCACTCCTCCTGCTTAGAATGTTTTGAAGTTTGTTGCTCACATACCACAGTGCACCTCTGCCTGCATAGTGGACTACCAGATATTATTTCCCTAACCTGGACTTCACCTTGCCTTCCAGGCTCACATCCTATGTTTTTCCATATGGACCAGTTCAGCCTGACATGAAGAATTCAGTTTTGTCCCCCAAGAATACCACATTCTTCCCTGTACCTGGTCTTTTTCTTCATTGCTCTCTTGCTCAAAATAGCTCTTCCTTTTATCCTAACAGTGGAACTTCTCAGCTCTCAAAATAGAATTCAAAAGTCATCTCTTCAGGGAGGCCATCCAAGACCTCTCCCATCATCTCCTGTGTGACCCATCACACTGTCTATTCTTCTAGAAATACATAGCCTACTCTTCTGTCATGATTTGTTGACATAACCACTTTGACCTCTGTGAGACTGTGAACATCTTGAGAATAGGGGATTTTTATCTGATTCATCTCAGTCTCTCTAGGGCCAGAAACAGAGCAGACATTCAATAAATATTTGTTGAACAAATGGCAAAACTATATTCTGGGAAGGATTTAACAAAAATTCCAGATGTTGGCTTTTCTGTATTTCCCAATCGTGTGTAGCCTCTGTCCCCAAAATGCTTCCTCATCCTGTTTTCTCTATTAGCTGCAACTATTTCTAAGATGTACTTTCTAGTGGGAAATCATTGCTATTATAAAACGGTAGAAATTTTTGATATGTTCCATCAAATTCCACATACATGCATATACACACACAGTGAACTCCTGGTATGGTCTGCCTCTGTTTATGCATTAAGAATCAGAGTTTATAGCAATGTGAATGTTATAATTAGCATCACAGCCCAATAGCTGGTAGACTTTAAATTGGCAGAATCCTGAATCAGCTCCTGTAGTAGGGAAAAAAAATCTCAGACTTCAAAATTATTTAATTTATTTTAGGTAGAAGAAAATGCATACTTTTCCCTTGGTATCTGCAGGAGATTGGTTCTAGGATCCTCCCCTGAATACCAAAATCCAGGGAAGCTCAAATCCCTTATATACAATGGCATTGTATTTGCATGTAACCCATACACATTCTCCCGTATGTGTTAAATGATCTCTAGAGTACTTATAATACCCAATACAAGTGCTATGTAGTTATTATATACTATAGTTTCAAACTTCGTATTTTTTTTATTGTCGTATTGCAATTTTTTATTGTTTTCTGGTTTTTTCCCCCTAAATATATTCGATGTTTGGTTGGCTGAATTCACAAATGTGGAACCCATGAATATGGAAGGCCTATTACGATTTATTTTCTGTTGATTTTACACAAACCGCCCCCCCCACACACACACACATATGGCAGATTCAGTCTTATTTAGGGATGAGCAGAAAATCTGAGTATTGCAGATGGTGAGGTTTGGTCCCCTTTGGCTCTAGTAGACCTTATAATGATCAGTTCTCTGCCCTTCACTGCCAACATTTCATCCAAAACAACAGGTAACAAGCCCTCAATTCTGTATTTTCTGAATTTTGTATGATTGGTATACATTCCTCTTATTACTGGGGAAAATCATACAAAAAAATTGTGCATACTATGAAACAGAATGAAGAAATAAAAGCAAGCCAGTCAAATAAAATGGCAAATGAAAATGCAGTCACCTGCGGTTCTTTCCTGCTCTAGGCAGTACATACCATTGTTCCATACTTACCAATCACAACAATTACATATCTATAATAAATTAATTCAAAATACATTTTCTCTTCTTGTATGTTTTTATAGTCAAATTAGACTCTCACAAATTGAAAGTTACACTATATACTCCATTTTAATGATCTGAAATGAATAAAAGTGAATGTTAAAAATTTAACTGAATTGCTAGGTTAAAGATAAGTGTCTGATATGGGTGGCATGCCCAGCAGATGACTTGCTTGGTTTATATACTGGGTCCTACCCTGTTACCCATGGTGCCATGGCTGGAGAGTACAGAAACAGAGTATTTTTGTTTTTACACACTTGTGGAAGTCACAATTTAAAATCTATGCTTCAGTGCGCCATCCATGCCGACCTGCACTTCCAGATCACAGCAGCTTGGCTTATAGAGGAAGGTACTTGAAGCTCAAACACCAATGGCAAACATGATCTGGGCATGACATTGGCATGTGAATTCAAGATGTTTCATATTCTGAACAACTGAGTCCTCTCAGACACACGGAAACCATTATATAAAAGCTCATCAAAATACCCAGCTGACCAAACCATTTATTTACAATCTCTGAGTGATAGATCAGTAGAATCATAAGAACTTTTTAAATCTCTGCTATTAAAACATGCTTTACATATGGATTTTAAGATCAGTTGAAGAAGTGGGAAATAAATGAGCTAAGGGTTTGTGGGCAAATACTAATTATCTGCTTTTGATTGGGTAATTTTTCCCATCTAGAGTCTCATTTGTTCATCTTTAAAATTAGGAGAATCTTTGATAGCAATCATGCCTCATGGGGTTGTTATGGAACTAAATAACATGATAGAAACCAGTGTTTATCCTCTGCGCTGTGCTCCCAGAAGGCTCAGGGAAGTCTTCTACCAGAAAACTGAACATGCATTGCCGAGAACCTCCAGGGCTGGTGAGCTGGCAAAGGTGAACATGGTGCGTAGGAGACATGTCTAGCAGCCTGGTTTGGCACTTAGGTGGTCTGTGTCGCTTGAGTCAATAAAATATTCCCCCCTTTAGATCCAGGTTGCTCCATGACCAATGGGAGTGTCAGCCTTCTCTTAGAAATGACATTTCTGAGTGGTATTTCAGTATCATGGCCTGTCTTTCTTGTGACCCACTCTGATCACTGATTAAAAATAGTCACTGTGGCCTGGTGTGGTGGCTTATGCCTGTAATCTCAGCACTTGGGAGAACAAGGCAGGCAGATCACTTGGGGCCATGAGTTTGAGACTAGCCTGGACAACATAGCAAAAACCTCTCTATACCAAAAAATACAAAAAATAGCTGGGTGTGGTGGGGCATGCCTATAACTCCAGTTACACAGGAGGCTGAAGCAAGAGAATCTCTAGAACCTGGGAGGTGGAGGTTGCAGTGATCTAAGATCGTGCCACTGCACTCCAACCTGGGAGACAGAATGAGATTCTGAATCTAAAAGAAAAAAAAAATCCACTATGGGTTGGTACAATAGTTCACACCTGTAATCTTGACACTTTGGGAGGCTGAGGAGGGAGAATCTCTTGAAGCTAGGAGTTTTAGACCAGCCTTGGCAACATAGCGAAACCTTGTCTCTACAAAAAATAAGAAGTTAAACAATTATCTAGGCAGGGTGACCAGCATCTATAGTCCTATCTACTTAAGATACTGACACCAGAGTCAGTATCTGAGCCCGGGATTCCAAGACTACAGTGAGCTATGATTGCACCACTGCACTACACCATGGCTGACAGAGTGAGACCCTGTCTCTAAAAAGAAGAAAAAAAAATAGCTTATGGTCAGGAACTTCATGAAAAACAAATAGGGACACACACATAGAAATAGAAACAAACTAACAACAACAAACTCTCTTGAATAGAAACCAATTTTTAATCCTATGTTTGACTACATACTAGCTTTAAACTCGCTATCCATCTTGCAGTGGGTCCCCTTCCATTGGACATATGCATTACTGAGGTTTATGGATAACCCAAGATAAAAAGATGTTCAGTGAGGATGTATTTCCATAAAAGTGTCAGATTGGATCCAGATTAATAAGATGAAACAGAAAAAGACAAATATTCCATCAATTTAAAAATTTCTGTAGAGAGTTCTCAGATCTTTTTCTTACATAAAGATTCTAAGAAGTAAAAAATTCAATCTTTGGGGTCAAACAGACCTGGGTTTGAATCTTGAATCTTGTACATATTAATGGCCTGACTTTAAACATATTAACGAGGTATCTTGGTTTTCCATATTCTCGTGAAACTAATCCTTTTAGGTTAAATTTGATTCCATTCATAAAGCTACTTAGCACAGTTGCCATTCTATTGGAGATGCTCAGTAAATATTAATTCTTTTCTGGGAAATTCTTCTCTTTCAGCAGTAGACTAATGAGGAAGAGGAACTTATTGGCAAAGAGAGGAAAGTGA